AAGTTATATTTTCATATTGTAATTTAGATGTCAGCTAAAGAATGCACGAAGTTAATAATGTAGGCCTAGAAAGTTTTAAAAGTTTTGACGTAAGGATTTCTAGTATATTTAGCAGTTCGTTATAAATACGAAGTTTAGTGAAGCATACGATAAATTATTTCTAGTCAGTAGAATAACTCAGTGTTTTGTTTTTCATTTACTGGATCAATCAGCTGTGAAGTTGTACAATTAAGTTTATTTTTACGTTAGTGTAGTACAGTTAGCGTAGCTGTAAACGGGTCTACATTGTACCACAATGTTTAAAGCTTCTAGAAACGATAAAGGAAAAAAATAAACTAAATTATTATCGTTATATGGACTGGATATTGTATTATTTTCATCAAATAATTTAAAAGACCCCGCTAAGGAAAAAACAACTTTACAATAATATCATTACTTGTTTTTACTTGCTACACAAAGCTTGTAGATGTTGTGTTGTCAGACATAATGATACTCTGTTAAACAACCATCTAAATTATAATGTTAGAAATATATCAAATTCTCGGTACTAAATTACATTTTGCAACCCGAGATCACTAAGTGAGCTCATCCAGATATATCTAAATTTAAAAAAGAAAAAACAAGATTATCATACCAATCATCTCTGTTTCAAGTTTTTGGATTGATTAAACTAACTTCAGACAAAGTGAAGCAAAATTTAAATATATTGCCAGTCTGGAATTTTTTTAAGTTACCCAAATGAGTTTGGTTTGTTTGAAGTTAAGCACAAAGCTACACAATGAGCTATCTGCGCACTTCCCATGACGGGTATCGAAACCCGTTTTCTAGCATTGTAAGTCCGCAGACATACCGCTGTGCTACTGGTGGCAGTCCAAATGAGATAACTGTCTAACTCTTAAACTGGAGTAATATTTTCTCACTTTCTCTCTTTTTGACACAGAGAACTCACAGTGGTTTAAAGTTTTTAAATGTCCAAAGAATTACACACAACGATTGAAACACTTAATTGTATGTACGTATATGGTGAAGTAAAACAGGCTCAATGCCCAATATATATTGAAGCACTTGTTAATGTTGTATTATTTTACCTCAGGTTTAATGAGGGGGAAAGTAGTCTGTATAACTATAAGTAGTTAGGCTACTGAATTTGAAAGTTAGTTATTACATACGGTTGTTGATATAATTATTAATTTTAAGTCGTATCAGTTGTGACAGTAAAAAATAAAGTAAGTCGAAAAAAATCAATCTAATTTAAAAACAAAGTGCTAAAATTTAAAAGAGCAAAAACTAAATAAATCATTAAATGTTGGAAAGAAACTGAGTATTTTCGATTCTAATTAATTTTTAAATATGACTATCTCGAGTACAACTAAAATAAAAAAATAAAATAAAACTAAAAGTATAAGATGAAGCCTATTTCACGTATTTGACTAGTTGTAACACAATAGTGAATAATTAAATCTCGAGGTCGTACTTTTATTGTTAACATTTGGACATTTAATTATTATGTGTAATGGTCTGAACTCAAATGAACTGCATGGAATTCACTAGTGCAACTAACAATTTTGCTGTTTATGGTAAAATATACAATACACTACGTAATAGTAATACAGTAGGAAACGCTGAATGTTATCTGAGTTATCGATAGACTCAAGTTTCAGGCTACAAGCTTGACAAGCTAATTTTCAGTCAGTTTGGTTCGCGTTAAGAAATTAAATTATTAGTATTACTGAATAACTTCTAACATTTATAAAAGTTTCAAACAGAAAATTTATTATTATTAGTTGTTTATATGTTAAAGTGAATGAACCCCTATAGTAATTAGTATACATTCTTGTAGAGTGTATTGTAAAATGTGCACCTGCTGCACTTTGAGGTCTTTTGCACTATACACCTCAGTTACTTGGTGTGAACGTCAAATTGTAGAAGTGTTGAGATTGTGAATAAATTTATTATGACCTTGCAGTAATTCTCATTGATAAATATATACTTTCATTTCACTGTCTTTCTGGTTGTGATAGACAAAGCTAAGAAAGAAGGCAGCTACCTATAGTCAACAACATCCACTGTTAACTTTGAAGCTATTCTAATCGAGTAGTGGGATTTGTCAATAACTTTGCACCTATGGTGCCAAAAATGTATATCATTATTCTGCAGTAATGGAATATGAACCATGGATACTTTGGACCTCAGTCCAGCATGCTAACCAAAGCCATACTGTTCCAAATATTAGGTACATTTTTGGGAGGACATGTCACAGTTATTAGCATGTTAAACTGAGGACTTAAGTGTCTTTGGTTCATGTCTTTTTGCTACAAAATCACATTTCATGCTTTAGGAGCCTTGGCAGCATTATAAGAGTGACTGTCAATTCCCACTATTTGATCAGAGTAGCCCCAGAGTTGGCAGTGGGTGCTGTTGACTAGCTGTCTTTCCTATTAGTCTAATCTATTAGGTCAAAATTAGGAATGGCTGGTGCAGATAGCTCATGTATAGCTTTGTAGGAATATCTGATACAAAGAAATTTAATCTACATGTTAGAAGAAATGTTTATGGTAACATTTAAAACTGGTTTTATATGATGAAGTATTTATTTAAATACTTTTGCAAGTATCCAAGTAGAAAGATTGAGAAATGATGGATTTTCTTTCCACACAAAAATAGGCATGAAATGTTTGTAATTTAAAAATTTTTTTGCTTCATCATAATGAATCTTTTATTCTGAATAATTGTATTGTTAATACCAGAATTCTTAAAAGAAAACAAAAACAGACTATTTATTAGAGCTTCTACAGATTAAACAGAATATATTCACAATCTAAAACAGCCAGGCCCTGATTTTTGAAAACAATTCAAATGTCTAGTTCCCAGTATAATCTTGAAACCAGATGTTAGGATAAAGAATCAGAAAGAAAAAAAAACTAGGTTTATAAATTACCTCAAAATCTACATAATAATACAACATCTTCAGAATCTTTGAGTAATTGTAATTTACAACACTTATAAGCTCCAACAAAATTTTAAGCAATGTCCAGTATAAAACTCCCTTTTGTTGTTTATTATTATTTTTTTAATTTAATGTATCTTTTTTTGTCATTTAGCTGAGTTTGTTTATACCATTTTACACTCCATTAGAATTACTTGTAGTGAGATGAAATAGGTGGCATACTATCACAGTAACTGTAATCATACATAAATCAGTGTGTACAGAAGTTGATCAGGTATTTTTGCCAATAATTATCCCTCGTTGAACTGTTATCTCATCGCCTAGTAGTAAGCAAAAGAGAATTGAAGATTGATAATACAGATGTAGATGACCAGTGTCAGTGTAAAAAACTTTTTACTTTATAATTAATGGTGATATCTTTGTGCAAAAATGACAATTACTGAACTAGTGGTTTTGTTATTTGCATCTGGAGATATGTGGGCACAGGCCAGATATCTCTGATATAAGAGTAACAAATAATTGAAGATATGTGGACACAGGCCAGATATCTCTGATATAAGAGTAACAAATAATTGAGCTTATTATATGACATGCAAGTTCTTTTCTTTCAAATTTTCATCAAAGAATTGTTGAAAATGATATTTTAGATCAACCTTCTAAAGCCAGTTGGTTATTTCTAGGTTAGGATGAATGAATACCTGAATTAATATAGTCTAGCAAGTAAATGTACCTTATTCTCTAACAAAACATTTGAAGTTCATTGTTTAACAGTTTTGTCTTAGTTTTCTCATAGTGGTAACTCATGTATACTAGCAATTAAATGTACCTTATTCTCTAACAAAACATTTGAACTTCATTGTTTAACAGTTTTGTCTTAGTTTTCTCATAGTGGTAACTCATGTATACTTGCAATTAAATGTACCTCATTCTCTAACAAAACATTTGAAGTTCATTGTTTAACAGTTTTGTCTTAGTTTTCTCATAGTGGTAAATCGTGTATAATAAAATAAACTCACATTTTGGTGGAATACAGTAGGAATATTCTAACGATTATTGTAGAGAAAATCATTTGTAACAGAGATACAGTAGTGAATATTAAAACATCATCTTTTTAAGGGTATATTGTTATGTGTATTGCATGTAAATTCAGTCTATTTATGTACATATTTGTTTTGTGAATTTATTTGAACTCTGTTTTACGAGTTAAATATATTATTTTTTCAGATATTAAGTATGGTTCTGTACTCCAGTGAGAAGATTGAGGTTATTCACATAGCCAAATGGTTTCATGCTTTGCCTCACCTTGATATATATTTTAATTCAGTGAATGCTACATTTGATGTAACAAACAATTCCTACTTAGAGGTAAGGATTTCTCTTGTTCACCACAATTGATTCTCATTTGTGGTTTTGTTGCATAGTATGAAGTTTTGATTTGATGAATAATTTGAATATGGTTTCCTGACTTAATTTTGTTTTTGTAAGTCTATTTTACTTTCAAACAGGCTTGTAAATATTTTTAATCTCCATGGTCTAATGCATGTAGGAACAACTTTGGATATGTATCCATATGTGCATCTGAGAAAGAGAGAAAATGTAGCTAGAGTTTTAAAACTTGAAGATATATAATATATAGAGATAGAGAACTTTCAGTTATAGCCTTGAGGTCTTTTAGCTCACAGAACTTGTAGCTATAGAACATTGATTTTATAGAATTTGAAGATGCAAGTGTTATACTTCCATGAAAGTCAGAATTCCTGTGCATACATAAACCTAGTTAATGTATACTTTCAAGTTACTGTACAAGCATTGTAAGCTGCAAATTGAAGTGTGTGATATATTTCTTTCAGCAAAAAATAAAAATATATATTACTTTGATTTTGTGCTTAAGGTCAAACATTTGAAAGTTGAAGTTTTAGTTTGAGTAGACGTGTTTGTTTACTTAATTGTGGGTGTCACATTACAAAGCTACAGTGTCTAAGTGTTGAATACAGTATGTGAGTCAGTATCAGGTTACTGTGGAAATACTTCATGTGACCAGCAAGTTGAAGACACTAATGGAATTTAACAGCATCTTTACTACAGTCCCTATAATATTACAGTTTGTACTTTTTGGCAGTATTGGGTACATGTTAAAACTGTTTGTTTCTGATTAGTGACATTTATAATTTTTTCATGTACTTTAAAGTTCAGTATGCTAATATCAGCCTACCATGTGGAGATTCAAAAGCAGTAAGTACATTGTATACTTACAGCCCACATTCAGTATATATGCTTTTTATTTTATTTGCCTCTATCTGTTCATCAAACTTTTTCTTAGTTTAAAGAATTCTTTGTGTTCATTGCTGTAGAGCAATAGTAAACTAGTAATGATTTAAAATTAACTAGTATAGAACAAATTAACTATAGCTGTATGTGATATATTGGTGTAAATGTCTTTTATGAATTAATTACACATTAAATAAAAACCTGTTACTATGTGTATAATACCATAATTAATATTCCTAAAAACCTATGAGTGCATATAAAAAAGAATGTATGATAATATGCTAATCACACTATACCTGCTATATCCAGTGACAACAAGTCCCTTTGCCCAGTACCAGGGCTCATCAAGACAGCTGGGGTATGACAGACACTATTTATATTATCAAATTGATTTAGATTTTTGCATGATTTTCCAGGTAGTGATGGTCATGTAAAGACATATTTTTGATTTTCTAGGCTCTTGGAATTATCATAGCTGTTCCTGGCTTCTGGCTAATTATCACTCTTCTTGTTTTCATGGTCTTCTTCATCTGTCGATGGTGTAATGCCAGTTTAAAGAAAAAGAAAAAATTATCCCCCTTAAAATGGGCATTATCTATTTTTGCCTTGCTTTGTTGGTAAGTAAGATTTAATTGTTTTAAAAGTTTGATTTTATCCATTGCTCTCAGTTTTATTCACCTTCATTTGCTTTACAGTTATGAATTGGGTAAATGTACATCTTTTTTATCATAGAAATTATTCTTATAATATACAGGGTGGTCCAGAATGATCTTTCCTATTTTAAAATTTAATAACTGAATAACTAATAACTAGCCCAACTCAAACACATTTTATTGACATGTCAGTAAATTCTATGTTTATACCATCAGTGGCTCTCAGTATGTCTAACTGATATTTGATTTCAGTCCATGTTCGCTATAACATCTCCACAGTTACAGTGGCAATGGCATCTGTTGTACTGGTCTTTAGCTTTAAGATTTTGGCTATAGGTGTATGATACATGATCTACTTAACAGAGAAAGAAGTCTAGTGGAGTGATGTATGATGAACAAGGAGGCCACGGAACTGGCCCACCCTGACTAATCCATAGCTTTTTGAGCCTTTTCCTGCATGGATGCTATTTTATGGGGTAACTCTACTCACTGGAGTAAAAAATAACATGACAATAAAAAGTGTTTGAGTTGGGCTACAAGATGTTGAAGACTGCATGGTCTTATTTTTTTCAGTTACTGAATTATTAAATTTTAAAATAGGAAATTTAATTTTGGACCAAACTGTTTATCTGGGTTTGAAAGTTTATCTTAAAATTTTTTTTTCCATCTATCAAGATTTATTTTTAGGTGTTTTGAACATTGATTTGAAATTGAACTTTGACAGAAAAAGTCAGTAAAAGTTTTGTTTAAAATGCTAAAAGTTGGTTGAATATTGGAAAATATTCCTAAGTATTCCTAAATTTAGAAATTTCTAAAAAAGTAACAGATTTGAAGTTAATCTGTTTTTATAACAAAGGCAGTAGCTTCTAATAAACAGAAGGATTGGGTAATGTGATTGACTATGTTTCCCGCATTTAAATTGCTGATTGTACATTTTTTATTCAAAAAATTAAGAGGTGAGTGCATTTTAGAAGTTTATATGGGACAGTTTTATTGTAAACAGTCGGAACTGTGGATAACAAACAGTATGATATGTGAAGAGCAAACATTAATCCAGGCCAGATGCTGTTTTCAGCTGATTCTGGAAGTGTTACATATAATGACTCATGACCCAGGATAACAAACTCGGAGTAGGTTTTAAGGGTTACTGAACTTGATTTGGTTGCTGGATTTTGTGTTTATGGCCCCCTTTGTTACTGTGGTGGCACCTTGTTGAAACTGTATTCATACCCCAACTCACAAGCTAGCAGAACAAAACTTGGTTCCTTTGCTCAAGTATCATTGACGGGTGTCTTAACATGTATTAAGCACAGTTACTTCAGTACTGGGGATGGGTGTCTTAATATGTTTTTCTTTAAGTATGGACCCCTTTTTGGGTAACTATAGGAGTAATTGGGGATAATGAAGGAGCTGAAATGGTACACTGGGATCTCAGTGAATCACAAGGGAGTATTTGAACCCCATGGCATATAACACGTATTTTATTTTACTGATTTTAATTTTTGCTATCCAATTTCAAAACTTGTTTTTCTATTCTGAATACATGTTGCTTGTAGAATACTTAATTTATTTGAATGTTAATTTATTTAGTAGTGCTTTATCTCTTGGGTTATTTGGAAATGAAGAAACCCATAATGGCATGAAGAGTGCCAAGATGGCTACAGAAAACATGGAGAAGATAGTCATATCTGTTTGCAAAGAGGTAAGTGATTTTTTTAAGGATAATTATGGTTTAGTTAGCACAGGTTTAAGAAAAATTATAAATTGTTTGATATGTATTATTTTAACTACATTGAACTAAGTTATTTATAGTAGATATATATATATATATACAAAGCAACAGTCTGTTTTCTGTAAAAACAAATGTCCACTATTTCTAAAATATTATTTTTTAAATACATTTTACAAAAGAGATGACAATAATTTTGGGCCTATTTAAGATTACTGTGAGCTTGAAACTAGGCTCCATTTTTTTAAACAATCATTCCAAGTTGCAAGTTACTGTTATTCTCTCATATGAAGATGTATATAAAACTAACATTAGTTCTTTACTTGCATGGGATTTTGATAAGTTTACAAGTTACTAATATTACATCAAATTAAAACGTATATATAATTAGCATTAGTTCATTACTCACATGGGATTTTGATAAGTTTTACAAGTTACTAATATTACATCATGTTAAAACGTATATATAATTAGCATTAGTTCTTTACTCACATGGGATTTTGACAACTATTACAAGTTATTAATATTCCATCAAGTTATAAGATATATATATAATTAACATTAGTTCTTTACTTACATGGGATTTTGATAAGTTTTACAAGTTACTAATATTACATCATGTTAAAACGTATATATAATTAACATTAGTTCTTTACTTATGCCCACCTTATGAAGAGTTGCCTGAAAATGTGTCAGAGTTTGTGAAGGTGTTATTGGAAAGGATGGATGATACTCACCATCAAGTGTGTACAAACTTGAAAATGTCTGATGATTCGATGAAGTTAACTTATGATAAGAGATCTACTGCTGAAGTCAGCTTTGTACCAGGAGACAAGGTGTGGTTGTATAATCCCAGGAAGACCAAAGGGAAGTCTTCTAAGTTGTCTTCTCCATGGGAAGGCCCATATGACATAGTGGATCGTCTCTCAGACATGACTTTCCAGATAAAATGTGGTCGGCGAGGTAAGCCAAAAGTGGTGCATGCCAACAGGCTTTGGCGTTATCACGATCCAGGACATTTCAGTTGGGACGAAGTGGACAATAGAACAAATGACGCTGCTGAAAACGTGCCACCTGAAGAAGCCACCGTTGAAGAAGAAACTCTACTCAGTTTTGAGAAGGGAAACGGTGAAGCTCTTGATGAAGTTACTACCACTGATGTGACTGTTACCGACGATAGGACATTTCCTGATGAAGCAGATGAACCCCACGTGAAGCAGCCCTTATGCTTGGGTCCCCTTTTAGCACAACATGTACTGCAGTCCTGCACCATTCTTTTTTACTGGATAGGTATGAGGCAAGATGTGGTCTCAGTCGTAGGTGACTCAATGTCTTCTTAATTCCGAGAAGTCCTCCTGATAAAGTATCATGGGATTGACGCAGCACAACTTCCCGTAACTTTCTCGGTATAACCGTTTGCCAGGTCGTCACTTTCCCATCTGCAGTTTCCTATCTCCAGAGAAGAATACCATCTTCAAGCTTCAACTGGTCCCATTGTGCCCAATAGTTCTTTGTCACAGGGCTTAGACTAGACACCTTCTCCCAAGCAGGGTGCAAAACGCTTGCTTTTAGAAAATCAATTATTGGCTTCAAATCTTGGTCTTTCTCCTGTTCTGCTTTGATATCTATATTTGGTTCCACTTCATCATCATCAACTCTTTCAGTCGGCTTGACTTCAGCTTGATGGCACCTGGTTAGTTCAACCTCTCTTTTGCAGCAATGTCTGCAGTCATTTTTGCAGGGTCTTTGGCTCAGTCCATCGTCATTACCATGAGATTTTCCCTCTTTGTATTCAATATCATAATTATAATGGTCTATCTTTCCAATCCAACGTGCCAGTTGTCCCTCTGGGGTCTTTAATAATCTTAACCAGCGTAACGCAGCATGATCTGATGGAAAACCTTGCACCATAGAGGTAAGGATGGAAATATGTCAGACTCTTTACTATAGCAAGGAGTTCTCT